ACAGCCAAGGATTCAGATGTGTACGGATGGCGTAGGCAAAGTCTATTTATGCAGTATTGAGGGATTCTGTGTACCGCTGTGAAGCATTCATGCACAGGTGCTCAATGTCAACTTTTGCCGCCTTTTTCTAACTTACAATTAGTCACTCCATCTAGGTTACACCTTACATTACGTAACACGTTTTTCGAGGATAAATTTTACCAGTATCTGATTGGTTGTCTTATGATTTCTTTGTTAAATATAATTACGATTATACAGCAGCTTATGAAAATGAATCATCGAGGGGAAACATTTCATCGCTGTTTATGCCTTTTTCTTATTAAAGAATATCTAAAAACATATTTATACCTCATAGAAGAAGGTACATAGAATCAAAAAACAATTTCTTATGGGCCTGTAGATTTATATATGTGTAAAACTTGGGCACTGTGGTAGTAAGTAATTCCATATTAGTTTGTTTATTAGATGTATCACACAGTCACAGAAACAGTATTATTTACTGGATGACAAAGTTTCGAACAAAATTTATTGTTCATAATCATTTCATCAATTATAATCACACGACTTTGACACTTGAGTTTTATAGTTTTCTTTGTTCTCTCTTATTTGTCGTCGTAGGGGTAGCAGTAGAATTTTCCAGATGTCCGACTGGACAGGTGTCGAATCATTTCTATTACACGTATTTCCTTCAGTTGATTCGATAAATAAAGCTTCATTTGTCAATCTCTCTCCACCCTGTTACATTACATTTTAAAACTGTCATCTTATCCCATCCAGCCTATTGTATGGTTGTGTGTAATTGCATGTAGTATGGTGGTCTAGTAGATAACGCTTTGGCGTTTGAAACTATGAGCACTGGGTTCGAGCCTCGGTGGGAACATCATCACTGACTCAATGGGGCATGCAGGTACATCCAGTGACGAGTCCCAAATAGGACGAAATGCGCGTTATCCTAGATTCCACTGCTGGTCACCATCCACCAATTAACTTCTAATATACAGTATTCTGTTGCTAATGCAGTATCGAACTGTCTGCATCACCCTACTACATTATTATTAAAACTAGGCGCTGTTGAAGGGTGTCAACAATAACAAAGTCTGAGATTATAAATGACTACTGACTGTCTCCTATTAAAAATTAACATCTTATCTTTATAATTCTGGTTACAACAAGAAATCAAGATCAGAAGAAGTAGATAGCATAAAGTTTTCCTTCAAACATCAAAGGTTTTAACAACCCTGACACATCTTTAATGATTTTTGACCAACTAACATATATTCTAGGGGAGATTTACTCTTGTTTTATGAATTCTTTTCTTGTAAGTACTCTGAATGAGACTAAAGATTTCATGAAGATTATTTTATTCATCAAGAAAATAAAAGAAGACAGTATGATTTGAAGGATTACCTCTCAAATCCCAGTTTTAATTTTCAAGTGACGGTTTGCAGGGAATTGATTTGATTGGTTACAGGATTTCATCATGAACTGACATCGTTTAGAGAACCATTGGAAAACCAGCCACAGGGAGTACTGAACAGTCAGTTGTTTTGGTCAGCCTAGTTTGGCACTGACTCTTCAGCAGTACGCACCCACCGACAGAGTTCGAACTTAAGACCTTCCGGTTACAAGGCGAGTGAGCTCGTAGACCGTTAAGCCAGTGGGACCCGACTCCTCAATGCCCAGCCCATGAATTCGTGGTTTTAGAGTGACTGGCACCAGCCAATGTCATCTGAGGTTAGCATTTCATCCTCACTCTCAACAGGGTGGACCCCACTGTTCACAACTTCTCACTAGAACTCCAGGAAACTCCATCCTGTAGCCAGTCACTAGAGAGCATCAGATTAATTTTCAAGAGTTGGTTTGTAGGGATTCCATTTGTTTCTCAAGTTTGACAATGACGTGAAATCATTTGCAGAACCACTGGGAAACCAGCAGGGAGTACTGGACAGTCAGCTGTTTCGTCAGGCTAGTTTGGGACTGACTCTTCATCAGTACACACCCACCGACAGGGTTCGCACCCAGGACCTTCTGGTCCTTATTCTGTTTTTTGCCAAGCGAAATTTATTCACATCTTTTCAGTTTATGTATGTTCATCAAATAGTGAGTTATGATGGAACACTGGATTATTAAAGCTAGCTAGTAAATTATGACCATAATAAACAGTTTCAGTCAGTATGCTCTCATTTTGCATAGTAGTTGTAAAGTTCTTCAGACCAATTCATTTCAAAACTGACTACGAAAAAGATATACACACTACTGAGGATTATTTCCACCTTTTAAGAATGAAATATCTTTCATTATAATAAAGGTTTTTGTATTTCTCAATGAATGAAAAACAAAACGATATTGTTGTTCATACTGACGTTTCGCTATTTAACGCTGCTAATAGCTTTATCAAAGTATTATTAAACCGGAATTTACAAAATCTCAGCATATATATAACAAAGAGTTAAGGGGTGAGAAAATAGACTCCTTAGGTCAAATTAAAAGGACATATTGAAAGTCAAAATACCAATGAAGATCACTAAACCAAATAACAAAGGTAACAGTACATCTGTTATGGTATCAAAACAAAGTTTACTAACTTGATCATCGTTCGTTAGTCTGGGGTCATTTTCGTTGTCAAGTTGGTCATTTGGTAAAGATAACAAAATCAAGTCAGTAGTACAACTGGATCTCGTCTTTCCAACTCACATCATCAATAGATACAACATTTCTTTCTTTCTTTTCCTTTTCTCTCTCTTCTCTTTCCGTTATGTGCTGCACTGTTTCTTTCTCTCTCGCTTACGACAGTTAATAAGACAGCTCCCACTTTTCTAACAGCTTCAAACACTGTTCAGCTTTACCTTTGCTACCAACATGCCAATGTGTTGTTGTAATAATGAACTGTGTTCCTATCTATGTAGAATTCTATTATTGATATGTACTACTGGAGCAAACTGTAGTAAAATGTTGACAATTCCATTCTGTATCACATGTACTGTTTTGGAATAAAGCAAATTATTATTACTATTAGTAAAAAGTGTAGATTGCTGGATTTGATCAGTGTTTAAAATTATAAAGGCAGTGTGTGTTTACATAGTGAACTTGCAAATCACATTTGTGTTGATTTTGTCGCTTCATGGGGGGGGGGAGGTGTTGTGACCAGGTCAGATTCTGTTTTAGTCCATCATTCCTATTCAGGCAATTTGGATTCCATTTGATTTGAGGTGCTTCTGATATTAGACGTTCTTTATGATTTCTGAAGTTTTCTGGATTATTTCAATATTGTCAAAATCAATTTTGTGACCTGATTCTATAGCATGTAGACCTATGGCTAATGATTTTTCAAGTTTTTCCAATTCAATTGGATTTCTTGGTGGTCGAACAGATTTTAACTTTCAATATGTCCTTTTAATTTGACCTAAGGAGTCTATTTTCTCACCCCTTAACTCTTTGTTATATATATGCTGAGATTTTGTAAATTCCGGTTTAATAATACTTTGATAAAGCTATTAGCAGCGTTAAATAGCGAAACGTCAGTAAAAAACAATATCGTTTTGTTTTTCATTCAATGGGAAATACAAAGACCTTTATTATAATGAATATCATATACCTAATGCCCGAATTTTTTCAAACTGTTAAAAGTTAACTTGGTTTGGACACATATAAATTTCTTTCATCTTCGTCAGTTTTTACGAGTCCTTGAGTGCAACTTGAAAGAGAAATAACAACAGATTGAGCGAAGAAATATCTTCCTTTTCAATCGCTTCCCCACCATTGCCTGGCTGGTTGGATGGCTAGCTCTACACTAATATATAGATTTTTACGTCAAAATCTTTTTACCAATCAAGTGGTTATTTTAGTTAATCAGTTTTAGGTATAGGCGGACGGTGGTGGTTCGGTGAAATTAAGAGGTTAAAAGTCATCAAAACATCAGCTAACTTGGTAGAAGTTAGAATTTTATGGACTGGCCATTGATGAGTCGGGTCCCAGTGGCTGAATGGTATACGAGCTCACTCGCCTTGTAACCGGAAGGTCCTGGGTTTGAATCCCAACCGGTAGGTGTGTACTGCTGAAGAATCAGTCCGAAACTCGGCTGACGAAACAGCTGACTGACCAGTACTCCCTATGGCTGGTTTTCAATGGTTCTCTAAATGATATCAATCCATGGTCAAACTCGTCAATACATCGATTTTTTTCAACAAATGAGAAGAAATAATTGTGGAATTTATTTCAAATCCCCACAAACTGGAAGATATGCAAATGAAAAGCAACAAGTTGGCAGAAGAAGCATCAAAGATAGGCCTCCAGGTGAACATAGAGAAAACAGAGGTGATGAAGATTCCTGGGCAACACCAACAGCAACAACAACAACAGACAACAATCAGCATAAATGGGAGAAACCTGAAAGAAACAACCTCCTTTACCTACCTGGGAAGCATCGTTTCAACTACAGGCGGAACTGACGAGGATATCAAAGCAAGAATCGGAAAAGCAAGACAAGCTTTCATTACTCTCAAGTCTGTGTGGAGGTCAACAGCACTCAGCATCAAAAATAAGATCCGGATTTTCAACTCCAATGTGAAGTCAGTCAGTGCTACTATACGGATCAGAGACTTGCACTGCGCGTCATGAAGAGCACCTCAAACAAACTACAAACCTTCATCAACAGTTGTCTTCGCTCAATACTCAAGATCAGATGGCCAGAAAAGATCAGCAACAGGGATCTCTGGGAGCGAACCAACCAGGAACCGATTGTGAAACAAGAAGGTGTGCAGGAAGAAATGGAGATGGATTGGCCATACTCTGAGGAAACCATCAAGTGACATCACTAGACAAGCCATTGCTCGAGTGGAATCCGAAAGGGAAGCGGCGAGTTGGTCGTCCAAGGGTGATGTGAAGAGGAGATGAAAACATGTGGCAGACTTATAGCCAGGTGAAACCGAACGCAATGGAGACGCGCGGCTGAAGCCCTATGTTCCTCTAGGAATTAAAGGAAATAACAATAATAATTTCAAATCATGTATTTTTTTTCACAAAACATGTTTACGATGAGGCAAAAATAATGGGAAAAATAATTATTGTACACATATAAAATACGTAAAAACAAAACATATAAAATATAAATAAAGAAATAAAACGCCAACGCGATCAGAACAAATATGTTCATTATTCTTCTCATTACATATTTTGAATAAAAATCAAATTATAGATGAACAGAAGAACTTCCAGTTCTCGTTGAAAATGAATATTCATTACAAGTTGATATGAGACTCACGTTTTTTTTAAAAAAAAACCACACAGATGAATATTAGAGTTCAGTGATATGATCATAGAGATGACTTGTCGTCACTACAAAACAGTGAACTTCTTATCTACAAAAAGTACTCGTTAAAAAATGTTATGACATCATCATATTGAATACAACGAAAAGTATTCATCATAAGAAAATGTAGAAATGCAATTGATATTTCATGAAAAAACGGATGATGATAAGACACACACACAAACATGCACAATAAAAAAAATAATCGAGTGACTGAATACATCTCATTTAAAAGTTAGCTAGTTAGTTGGTTTGTTAGTTAGTTAGTTAGCGGAAAATTGAATTCATTGTTCCTGTGATTACTCTTCAATTTCATTCACTTGACTCGAATGGTTCTTCATTTTTATGCTGTAGTCTTGATGGACGTTGACAGGCGACTACTTTTGGTCTAGCTAAATCTCTTGCAATACTATCACATGTACGATTTTTAGTTTCAGGCATAAATAGGAAGAAGAATATCCAACAGGCTACAACGATGATTAGAAATGGTATAAATGAATAACCACCGATTGCATCCTATGGAGAAGAAGAAAGAAAAAACAAACAAATATGAGATTTTCAAGTATTGATTTTTTGGAGGGATTTTTTGTTTGATTGATTGATTGATTGGTTGGAGGATTTCATCATGAGTTGACTGACATTAGTTAGAGAACCATTAGAAAACCAGCACTGGAGTACTGCACAGACAGCTGTTTCATCAGTCTAGTTTAGGACTGACTCTTCAGCGGCCGTCGGGGTTCGAACCCAGGACCTTCTGGTTACAAGGCTAGCGAGCTTGTAGACCATTGAGCCACTGGGACCTAATCCAATGGCAGTCAGCCATTGAATTCTAACTTCTGCCAATTCACGACATAGCGTGACCATTTCGCAATGTGGGTGCGTACTGCTGAAAGTCAGTCCCAAACTAGGCTGACGAAACAGCTGTCCAGTACTCCCAGGTTTTCCAATGGTTCTCTAACTGATGTCAGCTCATGATGAAATCCTCCATCCAATCAAACATGAGATTATTCACTGTTTTTGAAATAACGAAAGAAAGAATGAATGAATGAACACACATATTTACAGACAGGATAATACGAGCTCGTTTTATTTCGTCTTGGATTGTCTCTCTTCAACTGCGTCGTACATCTTAAATAAATCAATTATATGTTACAAAATGTGTGTCTGAACATACTTCTTTTTACAATGACTTCAAGATATAGAATAGAGAGTATAAGCATAAGCAAAATAATTTCGAAGGTGATGTAAGTAGACAAGGGGGTGGAGTCGCGTTCAGATTTTGCTTGGAAACAAGGATAGACTAGAGACAAAAGACAAGGTGGAACAGTAGAGTGAGTCTAAGCATATTATGAGGGAGACTTCGAAGGGTCGGGGTGAACAATGAAGTAAAATCTAGTAGATTTGGAACCTTAATAGTGAGTTCAACTCAGTGAGGGAAAATCAAAATCAAGATTGAGTGGAATGCTATATATTTGCAACAGAACAAACCACAAAAGCACACGAACAAAACAGTGACACCTGTCAGGGTAGTGAGAGGCTAGTCACGCAACCTTTCTGTATGCATAGGTTGGGTAGAAGTCTTTTGATGGTGACAATGGCTTCTGTGGACTGAAGTAACCATGCTTTTCTTTGTGCATCGATTATTTTGAAAGCCTGACTAATTTCCACTGTATGTCCCGTGTCAGTCAATTAGGTGTCTGGCAATAGCGCTTGAGAACACTTTGCTTTCTTTCAAAGGGAGACTTTGAGGGATTTGTTCGGAGAATCTAGTAGACGCTGTCCTCTCCTCTCAGTCCTTCTTGTGTACTTGTTGCCGCAAGTACAGGTGAATTGGTAAATGCATTTGGAGTTGACGTGCAGAGCAGCATATTTATCAACTTTTGACTGGGTTAACGAGCATGCCGTGTTTTAAAGTGATATGTGTTTGGTGGAGGCAAATTTTTTTTTGAATGTATCCTTAATTCTATTTTCCGTTCTTGTGGATACTTCTTCTTGAAGTTATTGTAAAAAGAAGTATGTTCAGACACACCATTTAGTAACAATATAATTGATTTACTTAGGATGTATGCAGCTGAAGAGAATCCACGAAATAAAACGAGCTGCAAATAGGTTCATTCTTTCTTTATTTCAACCACTTAAGATAGATTAAGATAGGATTCAGTAATCAGTCTCTCTCTCCACCTACATATATTACTTTTTAGAATCTTAACCCTCTCCCACCCTATTGTGTGGTTGTTTGTTAATGCATGTAGTGAAATTGCTGAGCTTTTTTATAAATTACTTATCTTCTCGGAGTCAACCATTCTTAGCCAAGTTCTTATGTTCCGCCAATCTGATTACCCCCGATCTACTAGTCAATTCCACTCATGTATATAAATCAAGCAAGAAAGTTGTGTGAGTGAGTGACTTGATATGATTATGAGCAGTAATAATTTGTGCTCGAAATGTGGTCATCAATTAAAATTACTGTATAGCACTACACTGTGTGATTTGCCAAAATAAAATCTTATCTATAATGGAGTTATACTCTACCAGCACAGTGCCCAAGTTTTATACTTATATCAAAGAATGAACATATTTGCAGGCAGGATATTACGAGCTCGTTTTATTTCGTCGTGTATTGATTCTCTTCAACTGCGTCGCACAAAATGGAGCGTCTGAACATACTTCTTTTTACAATGACTTCAAGTGTTATAGATAGAAAGTATAGGCAACATAATTTCAAAGATTGATGTAAGTAGACAAATTACTTTTGTGTTAAAAGGGAGTCTAACTATTTATATTGTAATTAGACAAGGGGATGGGGTAGAGTTCAGATTTCGTTTGGAAACAAGGATGGACTAGAGAAAAATTACAAGATAGAACAACAGAGTCAATTTATACAGATTATGGTGCAGACTTCAGGAGGGTGGTAATGGAGTGACTAGTGAAGTAAAATTATAAAATGGACAAAATAATTTAATTTAGCAATAGATTCGGAATCTTAATAGTGAGTTCAACTCAGTGAGTGAAAATCAAAATCAAGATTGAGTGGAATGTTATTTATGCAACAAAAAAAACACAAAAGCACACGAACAAAACAATCATGGATACAAGGGTAGTGCGAGATTAGTCACACTATCTTTCTTTATACAGAGATTGAGTCTAAGTCTTTTGATGGTGACAATGGCTTCTGTGAAATTAAATAACTAAGATTGTATTTGAGTATTGATTATTTTGAAAGCCTGACTAACTTCCACTACATGTACCGTGTCAAGCGGGTGTCCGATGATTGCAATTTCATAGGGGAGGAGACTTTTAGGGATATGTTCGGAGAATCTAGTAGACGCTCTCCTCTCCTCTCAGTCCTTCTTATGTACTTGTTGCCGCAAGTACAGGTGAATTGGTAAATGCATTTGGAGTTGACATGCAGAGCAGGATGCTTATCTACTCCTGGTTGGGTTAACAAGCATACTGTGTTGTAAAGTGGAGACAGTTGGGTGTTTTCCGTTCTTATGGATACTTCTGCTTGAAGTCATTCTGCAAAGTTTGAGATTATTACAAGATTTTCAGCAACAGAGATATCTTTTCGGCGGTTTCATCCTCAAAAGCAGCTGTGAAATCGCATTATATACATTTGTTTACATAATGTAAATGTAGAAGTTTGGACTTGCTTCTTTTGCACACACACACAGCTCCGATTTTTCGATGTATATGGCGAGAGCTTCTGCAGTACAAAGAAGTTGGAAACACATTGCCTTTGGTGGCAGATTTTTGCTTACTTTGTAAATGACTCTGAATGATGAGTCAGTTTGGATGATGCGACTGGTGTTGACAAGGTGTTCAATAATTGCGCTTCCGATTGAACCAATGCCTTCTCTTTGCAGCTATGATGAGTAATGTTCTCTAACACGTTTTGATAGGACCCTCACAGAACGACCTATGTACCTAGCTCCACACATGTTCATTGAAGTAGTCATATGTGGAAGTTTGTTCTTCACATTGCTCCGAAGCAGTGGACAGTTGGAGAATATCCCTCTTAAAGTCGCTGCAGAAAACGTTTCCTGTAAGGAACTGAATATTCTCCTCTTAAGGATATCTGCTGCTAAGTCTCCCCTGAATTCCAGATTCAAATATGTGCACTGAAGTGCATTCTTCCCTTTTCGGCTTTGGTTTCATGTTCTTCTCCACGAAACTCGCCCGGTATCCATTTTGAGGCAAGATTGAGAATTTTTTTATTTTTGAGAATGAAATCGCCGAAAAGATATCTTTGATGAACTTCTTGTTCTTTTCTCTTAAAGGAGGAATAAACTGCTTCTATAATTAATGGTTTGGTAGTTGGACCTACTTTGTGTATCCGTGAGTGTTTATCCAAATAAATGTCAAACTTCAGCAGTACGCACCTACCGACGGCCAGTTCGAACCTAGGACATTCTCGTTACAGGGCGAGCGAGCTCGTAGACCATTAAGCCACTGGGACCTGGTTCCTCAATGACCAGCCCATGAATTCTAACTTCTACCAGTTCATGACATAGCGCGACCACTTCACAATGTCTTCTTCAACCTACTGTACCCTGCTGTACTGGTCAAGGCTTCCCACTAGAACCCCATATGTCTAACTGCCTGAATAGGACCAGTCACTAATGAACATCAGATCAATTTTCAAGTACTGGCTTTTGTAGGGATTCCACTGTATCAGGTCCCAGTGGCTTAATAGTCTACGAGCTCGCTCGCCTTGTAACCAGAAGGTCCTGGGTTTGAACCCCTTGTCGGCGGGTGCGTACTGCTGAAGAGTCAGTCCTAAGCTAGGCTGGCGAAAAAGCCGTCTGTGCAGTATTCCCTGTGGCTGGCTTTCTTGTTGGTTCTTTAACTAATGTCAGTCAGCTCATAATGAAATCCTCAAACCAATCAATCAAACAAAAATTGCAACAAAATACCAAAACTTGAAAATATGAATCTATTCACTGATCGCTTGTCTATCTGTGATGATTATGATGCCTTACTGGAGTGACACATCTAACTCTGATGCCAATAAATATCCATTTATAGATAACTGCATATTTATGGAAAATTGACATATTTTCTAACTTATTCAATCTATCACAGATAATCATACTATCATATTCGTCAGCATTTATCGCATCATTTTTTCATCATCCTAAACACTTCGATAAATATGTGCACATTTCACTTCTCATTTTTATGTGATTTATTTAACTGCAGTTTAACTGCATAGTAAAAGGAATTCATACAGGAGGCATAAAAATATTTTTTTTCAATAGAAGAAAATGAAAACAGAATTCCTTTGTATGCATTTCAGTTGGTATAAAACGAAGCATATGACTAACTGACTGACTGACTGACTAACTGGTTTCAACGCAAAACTTTGCACAAATATGCACCAGTTTCAGTTGCCACAATACACCTCCTTGTAGCATACAAAGCAACAGAAGAGAGTTCAAGAGAGATTCATCAAAAGAAATAATAAACAGAGGTGTGAGTGAGGGAAAAAGAATAGTAATATGGAAGAACAATAGAGTTCTATTGGATATGATAAATCATAAAGAGTGAAAATGCATCTCCACTGTCATTGACAACAAGTTGGAGGCATATCACCATTTGTCTCCAACCGTCATTGGTTCTTACCATCCTCAGGACTCCAGCCAGACTGGCAGTCTACACCTGTCTACGGATTTTATTGACTGATGAGGTCATGTTTTCGTTTGACCACTACTAGCTTTCTCTTTTCCAACCCAATCCATCCTATGTCAGACAGCTAACATTGCCCGTCATCGAGGAAGGCAGGAGATGGATAATCTTTGATGTGGTTGTGTTCTTTGAGCTGGATAGTTAATTTGCGAAGCTTTCATCACCCTACTAGGTGACATCTTCAGCGCAAACTTCAATTCGAAGTGAGCTTTTAGATTTCTCCACGAGTTTATTAGTCATCTCTCCCGGTGACCACCTAGAACATGATTGGTTGTTTTGTGTGTTTTCACACCTCTAGGCTACTTGTATTGGAACTGATTGTTTCTTTGACTTGAACGTTGACCCTTTGTGTGTGAGGTTTCTTTTCTTATCGGTTGATAAATTTTGTCTATCTCGATGTGTTTATTGATTGGTGATTCACTGGAATGCCAAGCTTCTAAAAATTCTCTGGCCAGCATTCTTGTTGTTTCCTCTATCTAATATTTGAACGTTGTTCCAGTCGAATTGATGTCCGTGGTTGTCTGTATGTAGTGATATGAGGGAGTGGATATCATGTCTTTTGACGGCTAGTTTAGTTTATGTTCGTGGATACGAAGACGAAGGGGATGTCCACTTTGACCAATGTAGTTGTTACAATTTATTTTGTAGATGATGTTGGTTTTATCTCCTTTCGCTGTTGAGTCTTTTGGTTGACATAGAGCCAGCTGAGTGAAGTGATTTTGTTGGTTTGTGTGCGACGTCAATTTCTAAAGGTGTTTGAAGAGTCTTGCAGTGATTTCTGAGATATCCTTTATATATGGCAAGCCGATTTTCTTTGTGCTTTCCTTGGGGTCTTTTGGTTTGATAGGTTGACTTGGGGGTATATGTCTTTTGATGAAATCCCGTGGATATCCATTCTTTTGGAAGACGTCCATGAGATATCTTTCTTCAACTTTCCTTAAGGTGTGAGTGCTGCAATGAGTCCTGGCTGGCCCTCTTGAATAGTGTTTGTGATGGCTAGTCTAGCATGCGTAACACATGTCCAACCTCCATCTCAATCGATGCCACTTCACATCCATCTCGTCGATTGAATTCTCTTCCTTACCTAGCACACGACCAAAGCCTAACCTCAGTATTAATCACCTTATTCTAACACCATTTAACACACACACACACGGGAGATAGAATGAAGGCACCTATGATGAAAGACAACTAGACAGCATATGACTAATTCATTTTCAAGTGCTGATTTGTAGGGATTCCGAGATAGATTTCATTATGAACCGACAATGAGCCGGGGAAATAGTGTAACCAATAAGGTCCAGTAAAAATGAGTGTCAGGATACATACTCACAGTGACATTTATTAGCGTTGGGTCTATGTGTCTCAGAAATGACATTGGTCCTGACTGACTTTTGTCATCCAGCAGTCAGTAAATGGTCACATCAAGGATAATATTTCTGCTGAAACGCTGGACTTAAATCAATCTCACTGTTTTTTTATAATAAATAATCATGGTTACTTGGTTACAGGATTTCATCATGAGCTGACACTGGTTAGAGAACCATTGGAAAACCTGGGATTACTAAACAGCAGCTTCGCCCTGGTTTGGGACTCTTCAGCATTACGCACCCATTAGTTGGGGTTCGAACCCAGGACCTTCTGGTTACAAGGCGAGCTCATATACCATTAAGCCACTGGGATCCGGTGGGTGCGCACTGATGAAGAGTCCCAAACCAGGCGAAACACCTGTTCAGTACTCCCAGGTTTTCCAATGGTTCTTTAACCAATATCAGCTCATGATGAAATCCTGTAACCAATCAACCAAATCCCTACAAACCAATACTTGAATCATGCTGACTGTTGCATAAATAAACAACTATCCAATGATGTAGACCTGTGAGAATAACTGCTGTATGTTACCCAGACGATTATCGAGAGATTTTCAATTGCAGTTTAATCAAATCAGAGCTTCATTCATAGTTTTCATCGTTATGATTCTCTTAACTGTCCAATTAGAACTAAGATGAACCGAAATTTTAAAAACTTTTAGATAATAGTAATAATTTTCAAGAGTTCGTTTGTAAGGATTAGATTTACTTTTATGAGTTTGACCACGGATTCATATCAGTTAGAGAATGCAGTTCCCGCCGATGACATTGCATTGGTGCCAGTCGCGCTAAATCACGAACTGGTGGAAGTTAGAATTCATGGACTGGCCAATGAATAGGGTCCAAGTGGCTGAATGGTATACGAGCTCGCTTGCCTTGTAACTGGAATGTCCTGGGTTCCAACCCTGTCAGTAGGTTGGATGAAACAGCTGACTGTCCAGTACTCCCTGTGGCTGGTTTTCAATGGTTCTCTAACTGATATATCAATCCGTGGTCAAACTCGTTAAAACAAAATAGTAATAACAATGATAAAGATTCACTCACATTGATGCTTGGATAACTGAATAACACCAACAAGTTACACAGCCAATTGATTCCCTGACTCAATGAATAAGCTGCAGCTCTTGGTTCTTGTCGAAATATTTCAGATACAAATAAACCAGGTACTGGACCAAGACCTAATGCAAATCCACATATATAAAGAATAATAAAGATAGCTGAAACTATGCCAGCAGCTCGAGCTGCTGCAGGATCCTTCAGTGTATTGGCTAAATTCACTGTGATTGTTAAACATAGTAATGAAAAGGCGAGTAATACACTTGGCCATAAAAGTAGAGTTCTACGTCCAGCACGTTCAATGAGAAAGACAGAAATAATAGTCATTAATACATTGATTGCTCCAACTGCTACGACACAGAATTGAATATACTGATCTGGAATTCCAGCGGTTTTTAGCATTGTGGATGAATATGAAATCACCTGGAAAAGTAGATAATAAAAGCAATAACAACAACAATAAGTGTCAAGTTTTTCATGTGAAATGATGAAGTTAGTTTTACACAGAATAAAACAGTAAAGTTATATGTTTGTCTAAGCAACATGTTAGGAGAAAGCCACCTGAGATACTAATAAATCCTCGCACCGATGACTTACTCGAGGGCCTCGCAGGCGATGTCATTCGACGGTATCCCCAGCGTTTGCTCTATCCATCTCCACTTTCTCCTACATATTTCCTTACCAGTTAGTTCTTCGTCGGTTTATTGCCAGTCAGAGTTTCTTATTGCTAATTCTTCTGGCCGGCAGTCCAGCTATTTGATCTTCAGTATGAAACCAGTGAAGTGGGTAGCTGTTGATAAAAGTCTGCAGCAACCTGTTGGAAATGCTTTTCGTGACACGACCGCCAAGTTTCTGCCCCATATAGAAGAACTGACTGACTTCACATTTGTGTTGAAAATCCGAATTTTGTTGTTTATACTAAGGTGTAGTGCAGAAGATTTCCAAACTAGTTTCACGTTGATGAAAGTGTGTCTTTCCTTTCTGATTCTGACTGACATCTTTATCCGATGTGCATTATCTTTGTTCACCTGGAATCCTGTCTTCGCTGCCAGCCTGTGCTGCCAGTTCGTTAGTTTTCTCCTCTACGATGCTTAGGGAGATTTGTATCATTCTAAATGAAACTCTTCTGTTTGTTACTGATATTGTATGCCTAAGTCATTTTGAAAGTAAACACACTGTCACTTAGTTATGGAAACCATCTGTTGATCTAATGACAACTATTCATTCTTGTTCCGTTGTTTTTATAATCTTATTGTCCATTGATCTTAGTCGTTTGATGCTGCCTCAGTTAGGCCAGAAGTTTTTTTATTCACTTAATAAACAATATGTCAGAAACTATCAAGTTTTCCAAAGAGGTTGAATCCGATGAGAATGAGTTGGCGTTCCTGGACTGTTTAGTAAAAAGAAAACTAGATGGCAAATTTAAAATAAACATTTTCAGAAAGCCGACAAATTCGGACAGATACCTAGACTGACTACTATTCAGCACACCCATTTACCACCAAAGTAACTGTGGCCAAGAATCTGATTAACAGAGGCAAACGTCTAGTTTATTGAGGAGGAAGAGATTAGCAAGGAACTAAAATTGGTTCAATCCACTCTTGAATCAAATAATCATCCAAAAGCCTTCATAAAAAGATATTTAAAATGTGAAGATAAGGATGCATCGAAACCTGCTGCTAAGAATTGGGTTAGTACAGCGGTGATTCCTTACCGCAGTGAATCATCCGATGAAATAAAGCGAATCCTTAACGATCATAACATAAGAGTGTAGTTTCATGCAACTAACACCTTGTGCTCACCACTGGTGAAGGTTAAGGATAAAATAGAACAAGAAAACCAGCAGAATTGTGTATACCAGATCAATTGTGGGGACTGTAACGCCGTATATGTAGGAGAAACTTCCAGAAAGGTAAATATAAGAGTGAAAGAGCATAAACAATGTCTAAAGGTGGTTCCAAAGACCTCTGCAGACTTAAAGAAGCTAGAAAACAAATCAGCGATTGCACTGCATTCGGTAGAAACGGGACACAAAATCATAGACTAAGGTTCTACAGAAAGATTTTGGTTCATATAAAGAAAGACAAACTGCAGAAGCCCTGCATATATGGGTGAATCCCAACAGTTTGAACACACGTGAAGGTGTGATCTTGTTAGCTGATGCATGGCAAATCCTGACTGATAAACTAAAATTGGATATATATCAACAATTAGTCATACTTGGTCAAAATTCCCGATTGTCTACGTCTTCTTATGGAGAAGCTAACAGATGTTTTATGACTGTTCACCCACACACACACCATTGTATACTGCATATACACATATATTTTAGAAAAAGTAGACTAATTTTAGAAGTCTGAGGTCAAAATTTGACCTCACAGTTCATACAGTTTTGTTTATTATACATGTTGATGTCTGTTTCAAGGCTCATGATTGGACAAAGGTTTTAAAAACAAGAGATGTCCTTTGTTTTATATATAAACCTCTGTTATGTTAACTTCGATTAATTTCTTTGAAGAAGTTCGGACCAGATGGCGACAAGAACGTAATATTCATTGCTGAATTTTCCGGCGTTCAATTATTTTGCAACTATTCGGTCAAATCTTGATCACAGTTCATATGAACCAGAAGTTAATGATTAGTTATAATCTGACAATAACTGACAAAAAACATTAAAAAATTCATAACAACTATGCGAATATAACCACATAACATAGGACGTCAGGTGGACATAGAGAAAACAGAGGTGATGAAGATTCCTGGCCAACACCACCAACAGCAACAACAATAACAACAGACAACAATTAGCATAAAATGAAAGAACCTGAAAGAAACAACCTCTTTTACCTACCTGGGAAGCATCGTTTCAACTACAGGCGGACGGAACTGATGAGGATATCAAAGCAAGGATCGGAAAAGCAAGACAAGCTTTCACTACTCTCAAGTCTGTGTGGAAGTCAACAGCACTCAGCATCAAAAATAAGATCCGGAATTTCAACTCTAATGTGAAGTCAGTGCTACTATACGGATCAGAGACTTGCACAGCGCGTCATAAAGAGCATCTCAAACAAACTACAGACCTTCATTAACAGTTGTCTTCGCTCAATACTCAAGATCAGATGGCCGGCCAGAAAAGATCAGCAACAGAGATCTCTGGGAGCGAACCAACCAGGAACCGATTGCGCAACAAATATGCAAGAAGAAATGGAGATGGATTGGCCACACTCTAAGGAAAGCATCAAGTGACATCACTAGACAAGCCATTGCTCGAGTGGAACCCGAAAGGGAAGCGGCGAGTTGGTCATTCAAGGGTGACTTGGAGGAGGTCATGTGAAGAGTAGATGAAAGTGTGTGGGCAGACTTGGAGCCAGGTGAAAACTCTAGCAGAGAACCGAACGCAATGGAGACGCACCGCTGAAGCCCTATGTTCCTCTAGGAATTAAAGGAAACAATAATAATATAACTGCTTACAAACATGAGTAAAATAAAAGGTGATTTCACAGATTGCATTGATAACAAAACAAACAAAACGAAAGAACAATAATACAGTGAAAACAACTAACCGCATTGATTCCAGAGAGTTGTTGAAATACTTGTATAAGGCAAGCAATTAGAACAGGCATTCGTAAATCTTTTTGTGTGAATAACTTGGTAAATTTAAACGGCGGTAGACTTTTAGCCACTTTCATTTCTTCAGTCATTTCATCAAAAATAGCATCAATATCATCTTTACAATTCAATCGTGTAAAAGCTTTACGTGCTTCAGCTACCTTGCCTTTTTTGATATATAGAAATCGTGGACTCTCAGGACAAAATGGTAGAACAATAAGTGATATCAAGGCTGGAATAGATCCAACAGCTATTGCAAGTGGCCATAATTGTGCAGTATTAAAAGTAAATGTCAGGGTAGCCAGATAAGCAACACAAATCCCGATAGTTACAGCCAGTTGGTGCAATGAACCAATACCACCACGAAGGGAAATTGGTGCTATTTCTGTTAGATGCATTGATGCAATACCAATCGATACACCACAATTGAAACCGTTTAAAAAGCGTCCAACAAACAGTAGGGCAGGTTGTCCTAATCTTACACATGGACCGCATAATACTCCACCAAGTATTGCAAACGCATGATTTAACAGTAGACCATTTCTCCTTTAAATATCAATTGAAAAAGGGATGGAAAATAATGATGAAAACATTTGTTGAAGCAATTATTTGATAAATATATGTGTATATATATACGACCTGATACGGCTACCGGTGGGTAGACCCCGATCTTCCTCTCCAAATGCTCTAATATCGCCATGGGTTCGTAGCATCATCCCAGTAATCCCTTTTTGCTACTCTCATGAGGCTAACGGTGTTTCTCACGCTAGTGACTTGCTACAGGATGGAGTTTCCTGGAGTTCTAGTGAGAAGTCGTGACCAGTGAGGTTCAATCAGATGTCATGTGTGAGGATGGATGTCGCATCAACGACATTGGTTGGGGTCGCGCTAAATCACGAGCCATTGAATCGGCTCTCAGTGGCTGAATGGTATACGAGCTTGCCTTGTAACCAGAAGGTCCTGTGTTCGAACTTGCTGTGGTGGGTGCGTACTGCCGATGATTCCCAAACTAGGATGAAACGGTACCTGTCCAGTACCCCCCTGGTTTTCAATGGTTCTCTAACTGATATCAATCCGTGATCAACTCGTAAAAAATATGTATATATATGTATTCTTTTTCAGCTTATTAAGTGTTATCGGTTGATGTGACTTTCACCCAAAGAATTATTCATGAATAAGGGTTTCATATCTCTTGAATCAATAACCAAATTCCGCATACTATTTCTTAGATTCGATGGATTCTGTGGAATGGACACCTACACAAGTTATTATGGAGCACCGATTATCAATAACAGTTTTATTCTGGACAGAACGTTTACACAAGGTACAGAACAGTAATGCAGGGTATGTTGCGTGACGCAGAAACAGAAATCAATCTTTGATTATGTTTTCCCTTCGTCGTTTTATTCCTTTACGTTCCCCGGTTGAACATAAAGCTGCAAGCTAGAGGCTTGAAGTTTCTGTAGCATTGGTGTTTATTTTTACAGAATGGGTTTGCTAGCCAGCCTCATGCCTCCCAACCTTCCTTCTTTACTAGCCCTATCACTGGCTTAACGAGGTAAAGGAGTGCGTCCACTGGGGATCGAATCCCGGACCACATGAGGTGTGGTTGGACAGCATTCTACCTATGTGCCACCAAAGCACAGTGAAAAACATAGGGGAAAAACTTTGATAGGACACTGGTGTGGACTGAATTCTATCAGTCATGTTTGCAATGTTGCTAAAATTCTAGGTGGCTCGCCATCACGGTGCACATTGATTTGATGGTATTAGATGGTTGGAGGCAATCGGCCACAGGAAGCCTTGCTGGGGGACCTAGATTTCGTGCTAGTTGGCACTCATCAGCAAGGCGCATCTTCAACCCTGAAGGGAGGAACTTATTTCCCTTCTGAGATTCGAACCCGCGTCACCCAGTGCAGTCCAAGGTTGCAGATACGCCTTGCTGACGAGTGCCAACTAGCACGAAACCTAGGTCCTCTAGCAAGGCTTCCTGTGGCCGATTGCCTCCAACCATCTAATACCAACAATAGTAGTTATGTAAGGTATAATGTTAAACTTCTCCTTAACAGTCTGTCATTTGTTTCTTGTTGATAATGCTATCAACCGTACAAGAACGGCATTCTTCTTTATCGACAATCATTCTCCATCGGATATATATATATATATGTCTATACATGTATATTGAAATAAATGTCAACAAAAATAAGATCAGTTCTATAAATTTTGGATCATCATAAGATCAAAAGAAGAAAATTGTTTGCTATTGTTATTTTCTTGTTTACCTGCCAAGTGAATCAGCTATAATACCACAACAGAATGCTCCAATTGCACCAGCTACGACAAATGCTGTGCTAACTTGAGCGTATAAAAAGCTTGGAGTTACCAGAGCACTTGTTTTCTCAGCTTCAGTAACATTTTTACCCAGAATAGTACGTGATAGGAAATCTTTAACATGCTATAAAAATGTGAAATAAAACAACAAAACAAAAGTAAAATGAAACGTAAATATGAAGATTTCAACGTTGTAGTGAGCAATTCAAACTGTACAAGTGGCATAGGGAAATCAGTGAAGGAGGGACAGAGTAATTTCGAAGATAACCTACCGACAACATTAATGGAAACGAAATACTCAGTTCAGCAAAGAGTCTCTTTCAGATAAGAGTCTTAAACTAGGCTGACGAAACAGCTGGCTGTCCAATACTCCCAGCTGGTTTCCCAATGTTTCTCTAACCAATGTCAGATCATAATGAATTCCTGTAGCCAATCAATTAAATCCCTACAAACCAATACTTTAGTGATATTTATTCATGTTAGAGCTAATAAAAGGGACTATTGGCAAATATTTAACAATAATCAGATTGCAGGAAATATACACTACACATTCATAATAATTGCCAACAGTATGGGTATACTAAGAGCCAGGGTACTGAGTACAATTCATATGCTTATAATGATTGTTTGTTGTGTTACTTTATCGATTAATCCTTATGTTGGGCGTACTACTAGACAGCTTAACCAGCGTGTTAGTGAACATCTCCCATCGTGGTTTGTCAAAGGATAGACAAAAACAATCCGTAGCTCAATTTTGTCACATTTAGTTGATAGTGGTGCTCATGTAGTCTAGAAAACGAGAGCTTTCAAGGTAATTCATTGTATCCCACCGAATCTTTCCAATAGACTTCGTATTCCTCTACTGCACACAGCTAATGTGATATGCATTCGAACTATTAAACCTTAACTATGCATTCAAAAGAAGTTCGTGCAGCCATTATCCCTCCTATTAAGACGTAACCAACTAATGACTTCTACACCACCCCTTGTTTATATTTTCAACCCCTTGCTTATCATCCCTTAATCTTATCTTCATTAAAAACATGTTTCATTTCCTTCCCTTACAATATAACATTACTTAATCGGTTCATTTGTTTTTACCAGCCTTTATCGACTACTTCCACCTGAACAGTTGTTTGTTTAATGATGCTGTTTTCCGGTATTCGTGTTATCACAGATTACCTCACTTTTTCATCCTTATTATTGATAAAACCATTATTATTATCATTACTACTAATATGACTAATTGCACAATTTCGATGCACAATCTTATTATAAGATTTGATAGTGTGGAATATTCCCATATGAATGAAAAGTCAATCTGAACGAAGAATATTCTTTTCAATAATTCCTCTACTTCAGGTTCTTACAATTATAAAATATAATATTTGTTTTTGTTGCAATAATGGCCAGTTATGCGGCAGATACATTTTTACGTAGAATAACAGATTAGTTATGGGGTGTCAAAATAAATAGTCGTATTTGTGTGACAAACGTGCTAGGCTGAAATCGATTACAAAATATTGAAAAACGGGAGACAATGGTGGTGATTAATCATAATAGATTTGTAGAGTGTGGGTAGGAAAATTGACAATTCAGTTCAAGGTTATAAAAGGTGTCAGGTGAGTGAGTGGCTAATACAATGTGGTATGTATTAAACAGGAGATAGTAAGACTGCAATGAGAGGTTCATAATGAAATAACGAATATGTGAAATGAAACAGGTGGAGGCATATATTGAGAAAAGAGATAATATCACTAATAATAAGTCCGGATAGTATAAATGAAATATTCGATAGTATTGAGAGAATGTTTGCATGAAGGGCATAAATTATGACGAATAATAATAATATTAATAATTGTAATAATACTATTTGTGATTCTAAGCAAAATAAAAAAAACCAAGAGGATTAAGGGGAAGGAGCACTCTTGGCCACGGTTGGAACAGCGTCTGGACGTGTTCTTTTTGGATACAAAGTCCCTATTTAGTCGATCTTATTGCAACAGCTTCAGCTATGTGTAAGAGACGTAAGCGAACTGTACGTGATAACGACTTCGGAATTCGATATACAACCCTGAAAGCTGTGTTGACACCGATATGATGTCCAATATCGACCAAGTGTGACAGGATCGAGCTTTCTATGCACTTAATTAATCTTATTATCCTGTAGATAGTACACCACGGCTGGTTTATATTTGAGTTTTTTGTAAAGTTATGTTATTAGAGTTAAGCCTGATGAGGTCTAATTGAAAACAATATTGTTCGCTTAAGTGTGCTGTTCTAATCCTTTCGTGGCCTGTGCTACTTATTAGATTTTTCAGTAGTATATAAAGAGACGTCCATCGGTATAAAAGCATTAAATACCAGGTAGATAGATTTGACGTCAGTCAGAGAAAGCAAATAATACAACAGAGTTGCGGAGAAACACGGGAAACATGAAAGGAACACAATCAAACCCAATACCAAGGGAGGGCAGAAGTAGGACAGCACGGAAGATCTGTGCACAAATGGTGATTTGAAGATAAGGTTTACATAATTTCGCTATGTGGTGATACCAAACTCTAAATAAATATTCCGTTACTAAGTCTCTTCTCTTCTACCGTTATATCCTGACGCATCGAGAGCCTCACTTAGAGCATAGGGCGGCTGTCTAATTAACGTCTTCTATGCTGCATTTTATTTATTGTAATTAATAGTACTCTTGAATATAGGCGATTACTGAAAATCTTGATTAAGACATAAATAAACTTAACATGACATAACTTGTTATGTAATGAACGGTACTTTAACTTTTCACTAAAGCATTAGAAAATGAGATTACGTTCTTTCATGATGAGACCAATTTTTAATGAACTGTGTTTCAACAGATTAACGCCCAAGAAAGAAAAAAAGCACGATGTGTTATATATACTGTTTAAATGAGATCAGCTAGACACGATGTGATGAAAGCAGTTGCTTGTTAAATGAATGACATTTTCTCTAGAATAGTGACGTGCTGTATTGTACTGATAAATCATATTAAGATATGTTTAATATATGTCATGTCCGTTTTTTATTCACACCCAATGATATATACAATTTTGATATCAAGACAATACATACAGGCGGAGTAAAATAATTCAATGTCATTAATTTAATTTTGTTATTTGTTATACTATGAAAAAAAAGACATTTGAAAGTTACCAGCTACTTAGAGATTAACGGGAGGACTATTAAGTAAAGAGCCTTAGAGCCTTAACAATAATTCAGTGGGCAGTCTGTAAACATTTTATAGGTTCAGCATGTAAATATGGGCTTTAAAATCACTCCGGAATGAATGTTACTAAATATTTTGATGTTGAAGTAGTTGTGTTCTCTGAGGAGCTGGTTGATTTAATTGCGACGCTTTCGTTGTCCTTCCATATTAGTTTGTTTATTAGATGTATCACACAGTCACAGAAACAGTGTTATTTACAGGATGACAAAGTTTCGAACAAAATTTATTGTTCATAATCATATCAATTGTAATCACACGACCTCGAAACTTGAGTTTCATAGTTTTCTTTGTTCTCTCCGATTTGTCGTCGTAGGGGTAATAGAATTTTCCAGATATCTGGGAGAGGTGTTGAATCACTCCTGTTACACGTATTCTCCTCAGCTGATTTGATAAATAAAGCTTCCGTTATCAATATCTCCTTCGACCTTATGACATTAGATTTTAAAACTGTCATCTTATCTCATCCATCCTATTGTATGGTTGTGTGCAATTGCATGTAGTGCTACGGCTGAATAATTCTCTAGATTTTTCATCTTATTCAGGTCAAATAATGTAGATTGTGCTAGGTTCTTATGCAGGGCTAGTCTGACTGCCCATGTTCTAGTACTTTTACCTATGTATTTGACCTGACAATCATTGTAGGCAGTGTATTAGATAAACTAAACTGTTTTGTTTTAAAGGCTCCACAGGATCCACCATTTAACTGACAAAGCTTGTTTCTGATTGAGTTTATGGGTTTGAATGCTGTTTTTATTCCTGCCTTGTTAAGAATTCTGCGTAAGGTTTCCGAAGTTCCTTCCTTGTATGGAACTACTACTGATGATTTAGATTCTTTATTGTTGGTGTCGTCATTAATATTATTGTTATTATTATTATTATCATTATTATTGTTATTATCACTATCGCTACTATCATTAATTATTTTATTTTTACATTTCCTTTCATATTTCCTGACTAATTTATCCAGGTAATTATTTAGTTTCAAAGCTTCTTTTATGTATATCAGTTCCTGTCTTAGATTTTCTTTGGCACTACTTAGTTTTTGTGCTCTGTCATTTAAACATTTCACCAGTCCTATTTTCACTGACATAGGATGGCATGATCAGAAGTCTAAATATCTGTTTGAATGTGTGGGTTTCCTGTAAACACACACTAGTGTTGAACTTGCTATCTTCTTTCCTTTTTACGTTCCGTCGTCCTTGTGGACGAGTCGTTGTAACACACCAATAAAAAAGCCAACATCAATGACTACAAGAAAATTCATTCTACCATATACTAGAAAAAATATCTCTGAAATGACAACTAGAATAGTAAGACCGTTTGAAATGTATATAGCACACAAACCAGCCAGCCGGCTAGCAGGCCAGCACAATCACTTCATTCGATATTGTGCAAACCGAAAGAGCCATCCACCAGGGAAAGAAGATAAAATTAATACCATTTACAAAATAAATTGCATGCATGAACTGCAATAAACATTACATCGGTTGTCAAGGCGGGGCGTTGCCTTCGAATGCAAATCCAAGAACACAAATTGGTTGTAAGAAGACATGACATTTATCTATTCTTTCATATCAATGCATGTAGATAATTAAGGGCACCAATTTGATGATTGGGATAATGTAGAAAATTTAAATAGAGGAAAACACTAGACAGTAATGCCAGGGAATTTCTACAAGCCTGGTACCCGAGTGAATAAACCAGCGATTAACAAACACACGATTACTATAGATAAAATTTGCCACAAGCTAATAAAAAGTAAAGTAAAAACTGGAGCTGTGCATACAAAAGAGGATTACTCAACCACTTCTACTGTCATGGTAACAACTTTTTTGATTTTGATGACTTAATTTTCTTTCTTTGCCTGTTTTTCAGTTGCTTATAATTCTTACATTTATTTAGAATCCTTACGTAATTTCGTATTGTCTACTTTGTTCCTATGTGTATCCTGAGTAAAACTCACTCATCAAACTATTCATATTAATACATAACTTCTTTTTTTAACAACTGTTTGTGACAACTCATCACCTTTGTTACCTAATTTTCTTGACTGATTTTGTATTACGTAACTCCAATTACCAATCTTCACCTGTTTAGTCAAAATAACCGTAAACAATTGTATTTTTGTTTGACAAACTTAATGTACACACATACATACAAAATAACACAAAAATATTTGCAACTGTACAGCTAAGAAAATGAATTCGCCGCCGAAAAGAGACTCTTCTCTGAACACTACGTGTTTTGTTTTCATTAAAAAGTAAATCATCACATGACAATAAAAGTCAATAAAGATACAATCAATAGAGACGTAGATTAACAACCATTCACGACAATAGCTGTCACGATAATATAATTACGTCATCCATGGAGAATTCAAATAAGGTTTCTATTTTATACTAAAACCTTCACTGAAGCGATGTTGTCTAGTTGGGTGACGAAAGCTTGGCAAGTAAATCAACCATCTCGTCAGAGAACACAATTAGTTCAATATCATCCAGTTGAGCTACAAATCTTCTCGATTATTTCAAAACATTTGATACGTTTATCTAATTAGATGATACTTTTGAATAGGGGAAACTCTAAATTACTAACTACTTTTGTCTTTCACCGCTGTTCATGCTAAATATTCACATGAATAGTCTATGGGCAGTACATAAACACAAGGTAACTTACTTCTGCTGGCAAATTCAAAACACCCAGATTATATCCAATAACGAACGATGATCCGAAACATGTCATAAACACCGACAGTGCCAATGATTTCGTGAAATTTTTAGTCTTCTGTAAGAACATATACATATACACATATGTATCATATATAATATAATAAATCAAAATATGATAAGAAAATATTTTACCTTGAAGTATAATTCGGCGACCATACCACATTTAAAGTACCAATTCTCGTCCGATCACCTAGGTTAAGGGTTCCAATGGCTTAGTAGTCTAAGAGCTCGCCTCGTAACCCAAAAGTACTGGGTCCTAACACTGGCAATGGGTGCATACTACTGAAGAGTCAAAAACTGAGACGAAACATCTGTCCAGTACTCTCAGGTATGACCTTCGGTGGCTTAGTGGCAGGACACTGGCTAACTACGCAAGTGGTCCCCATCCGACGCATATATTTACCTTGCTTGGTGGGTAATAAGCTCAGTAAATAGGGTGGGTAGGGGGCGTGGGACTAGCATTCTTACCCCGTAAAAGATGCTCCAGTGCTACCGAAAATTCGTAGCTCTAGCATGACGTCCACTGGGAACGAAAATGAATAAATAAATAAAACCTCATACTGAAATGATCACTACCGAAAGTGATATTTTTCTTGGATTCTGAGAATACTAGAAGTTGTCTAATCTGTTACTCACGCACTTTACCCGCATCTCCAAACTTGTGTCTCCTCAGGTAAAACAAGAAGTCTTCTCAGAACACGTTATGCACGTACGTCTAAGAATAAAAACTCCACTATACCATATTTGGCGCGTATTTTACGTGATGAAATTTAGTGTTAGAAATGAACTAAATAATCTTCTTTGCACTAGTAAATAAACCACTTTCTCCGCGCTTATTCCATCTTGCTTTATTATTATTATTCTTCTTACATTTATAATCCTCTCACCTTTTTTGTTTATTTTCCCAAAAGTGTAAACATCATTTAATCTGGGTTATAACTGCTATTTTTTGTCTTTTCCCTTACCATACTATATCACCAGAACATTAGATTCAATAATCTATAACATGTTAAAATTTCCAAACTGAATCGACAATACTGTTTGAAACAAACCCTGTGTTATTATTACTAATGAATGGAGGATTTCATCATGAGCTGACAGCAGTTAGAGAACCATTGGAAAACCACCTGGGAGTACCGGATAGCCGTTTCCTCCTAGTTTGGGACTCTTCATCAGTACGCACCCACCGGGGTTCGAACCCAGGACCTTCTACTACTACTGTTATTATTATAGTTATTATTCTCATTTTGTACTTCGAATATTTTTGACTTCATACCGTAAATGTGGACAAATTCCTCTGGTTAATTTTATTTTAATTTTATTTATATTTTGAGTAAATCAGATGCAATATTGTGACAAATGCTGAGAATTCTACTCTGTATTATAAGTACTGTCTCTTTTGGAATAAAGTAGATTATTATTATTATCATTATTATTATTAGCTGGAAGATGTTTCTTCAAGCAATGAGCATACATATTATATATGTCTTTATATGAATGCACTAATGTAAAGATATCATACAACTACTTTAGAAAGAGAAAATTCTTGGTTCATTTCCTTGTTAGTAGAAAAATTGTACTCCAGGAGAAGAACAGAAACTGGACAGTAGATAGGCATTTGCCAACTCTATTACTTCTGTTTTCAATTTCAGTAGTATGTGATTTTATTTCTCCCTTTATTTCTGTCTGTCATTTGATTATGTAATCTTTGGCTTTAAACCTCACTCACCTTTGATATAGTGCAGTTTTGCTTGTCTCTTGTTTCTATGATTTGAGTTGAATTCAGTGCACTGTTACCTAATTTATCAGTCACTCATCATCTTACGCACTTCCCGTCTTTATTGCCTTACTTCTTTACCATTGCGTGCATACATTTATTTTGTTTAAACTCAAACTGCCTGTGTAAAAACTATATAAGCGTAATTTTCTGGGCGCTGTTCACTAAGTCTGGAACCTGCCGTCAACTGACATCATGTAAAATTTGCAAGTATGTTAAAAATTGTTGTGTACATAAACTTAATAACAATTTCTTTAGGCTGTAAGAAAGCAGCTGGTGAGAAGCCAGTGAAATAAGCAATGATGATACCGCATTATTCTGCAAAAGTTGTTGTTCTTCCTTTATTCAAATTTGTCTTTTTAGCCCGATTATTACAGGAATGCAGATATTAGATGGTTGGAGGCAATCGGCAGGAAGCCTTTCTGGGGTACCTAGGCTTCGTACTAGTTTAAACTCACCAATTAGCAAGGCGCATCTGCACCGTGATGGTAAGCCACCTAGTGGTATGGTGGCCACATTGAAAACTTGACTGACAACAGAATTCAGTCTGCACCAAACAAAGGACTAGACACACTACACTAGCCACTGACTAGTGTCCAATCAAACAGGTCTTCACAGTTGTATTCAATGGCAATCCTCTAGACATCTATATTCAGTGAACTAAAATTAATTGAACGGCCAAGCAGCGTGGTTTATACAACACACATGTGGATATATATATATATATATATATATGGAACCACTATCAAGGTGATTGAAAAGATGGCATGATTAATTTCAACGCTTGAAGTTAAAAGTCTTCACGCCTATACCAGCTAAATAAACTCAAGTATTAGGCATATGAAGAAGCTAATAATGGAAAGCGATTCAATAAGTTGTCTTAAAATTTAGGATACTTCCAATAAAACTTTCAAATTTTAGTTAGACAGTTCATTTTCAAATCACTGTCACGCATTGACTGACGACAAATCTTCTGAAATTTCTTCATATTAATGAGCCAGCTATGACAATGTGTAATAAAAGACCTAAAAGTATGGTAACTAAGCTTATGGTCAATGTATCTTCACTTATGACATTGTTTTTTTTATTCCTTTACCTTCCCCCTGTGGAACATAGGTCTCCAAGCTAGAGGCTTGAAGTTTTGGTAGCAGTGGTGTTTATTTTTACAGGATGGGGTTGCTAGCCAGCCTCATGCTTCCCAACCTTCCCTCTTTAGCAGTCTTGCTACTGGCTTAGTGAGGTAAGGGATCAAACCCCGGACCACCTGCATAGTTGGTGAACATTCTAGCGCTGTGCCACCGACTCACAATGACATTAAGTTTATGAAAGCTTTTTTTATAAAGGATTGGAGGAAAATTTGCATTCAGCGTCTGAATCCATTGATTGTGAAGGGAATGTTATTTATCAAAAACTGCTTTCAATGATCCTCCATCTCTTTTCAGATAAGTGGATCCTTTTTGTAGTTTCTGATAAATTTCACATAGTTCATAATAATTTTGGTGTAAAAACTTTTATATAAACCAGATCAAAATGTCTGATCGTAAATCTTAAACTTCAGATGGAAAGATATCACTTTGCGTGATTATTATAAGAATGTTTTGATGGTATAACATTATAGCAAAATTTCTAAATCCCATTAATGTCGGTGTTGATTCACTCAAGTTTGAAGTAAGTCTGGAGATCTCAAAATGTTTTTGAGAAAGTGAATCACCTCCATAAAAACAGAAAAAAAATAGTTTAAGGGAACACTTGAGATAAATATATGAAACAATATGATGTCATTCTCAAGTAGTCTCAACTGTGTTTCTTTCTCTCTTTCAAACTGATTGAGTCACATAACACACCAAGTCCCGGAATGGAAACCGATTGAGTAACGATGAGTTGAGGGATGACCCAACGTTGACATTCGAGGAGATCGTGTGAAGAAGAGTTGAGAGTCTATGGGCAGTTGTATGATCAACTATGAAGAGGACATCAGTGAAGATGATGAACAGATGCATAAATGTGCTGTCAAAGACTTATGCTCTGTTCTAAACCCAAGGGAGAAATAGTAGTAATAATACATCATTCCGTAGACATTGATGGAAGACGAAGTATCATTTGTCATTGCAGGGAAATCACACTCATAAGGCATCAGTTAGAAAAGAGTGCTTTACTAACGCATGCCAGATAATTATGAAATTTCATACATTTGGTTCCCTTGATAAATTTCGATAGAGAAAGAAAGATCTAATTTGCAGGATAAAATGTGACATCATCAATCTATTTCGCATAGGCTCTGCCTCATCAGCTACTAAAAACCACTACCTGAAATTACAATGCTTGTCAATAATGACGATAACATACTTCAATGTTTGAAAGGTAATAAAGAAAACATAATAAGATGAACGCATTCAGAATATAAGCATTACAATTCGCTTTAGTTTAAGTCACCATCAATTCATGTGCTATCAAACTATGAAAAAAGGGGGGGTGGTGAGAGAAGACGGAAAACAGAAAAATCTAATAAACAGTGTTAGCTTTTACGTCTACACAGCAACTCAAGAAGGTTAAAGTTCATCCAATAAGTTGCTCAGTGAGCCGAGCTCACTGGTGAGTATAACTGACGAGTTTAATCAAAGTAATACAAGGAGTGAGAGATTGTTTAAACACTCTCTTTCTGTGTGCATAAGTATGGCCTGAAACGCTTGATTTCAGTTGCTTCAACAGTAAATCGTAGTAAATTCGCTGTCGACTGTATGTTTAATATCTTGAAGCATTTAGAAATCTTGACAAAATGATCCGTACTCACAAGGTGGTTGTCTGATAATTACACTTTGTAAGTGACTGCTTCCTTTTATGCATAAATTTCTTGAAATATGCTCTGAAAATCGGATAGATGGCCTTCTTTCTGTCCTTTCAGTGTACGTCCTAGTGCAGATGCATGTAAATTTATAAATGCAGTTTGGGATAACATCAGCAGGGTACTTACTAAGCTGAGCTCACTGAGCAAGTTTTCAATTGTATGTACTTTAACCTTCTTGAGTTGTTACGTTGACATACAACCTAACACTGCTTATTTAAATAAAGCAAGAACAACAGTGGTTTGTGCAGAATAATATGGTACCATCATTTATTTCGCTGGCTTCTCATCAGCTGCTTACAGCCTAAATAAATTGTGAGGTTTACGTACAGAAAAGGTTTAACATACTTGCAAATTTTACATGTTGTCAGTTGACAGAAAGTTCCACAATTAGTGAAAAGTGCTCAGAAAATTGTGCTTATATAGTCAAGTCAACTTGACTTGAACTGCCTGTGTAAAAACTATATAAGCACAATTTTCTGAGCACTTTTCACTAATTGTGGAACTTTCTGTCAACTGACAACATGTAAAATTTGCAAGTATGTTAAAACTTTTCTGTACGTAAACCTCACAATTTATTTAGGCTGTAAGCAGGTGATGAGAAGCCAACGAAATAAATGATGGTACCCTATTATTCTGCACAAACCACTGTTGTTCTAGCTTTATTTAAATTTATCAACGGGAATAAATGCATGAAATAACACTGCTTATTAAATTTCTCTGTTTTCTGTCTTCTCTCATCCCCGTCCCCCAATTTTTACATAATTTGAAAGCATATAAATTGATGGTGACTTTAACTAAAGCGAATTGTAATGCTTATATTCCGGATGCGTTCACCGTATAATGTTTTCTCTATTTTACCTTTCAAACATTGAAGTATGAGATGTCATTATTTATAACCATTGTGACTTCTGGTAGTGATTTTCAGTAGCTGATGAGGGAAAGCCTGTGCGAAATAGATTGATGATATCATATTTTTATCCTGCAAATTTGATCTTTCTTTCTCTATCAAAATTATAACATTCAATATAATAAAAACCTCACCGCTAGTCAGTATAGTAAGCAGTGAATCGGCATTTTATAGTAACATAACATAACCTTTTTTTGTCAATATGATTAGTTAACCACCACAGTAAAGATTTTTTTCTTCCAAACCCGCCCCAACTCAACTCCAGTGTAAGCCGTTATTCAATAAATTCAAAGTATAAATGACACTTTGTTCAATTTAATTTTAATTAATTCTGTAATCAATAAACTTTTGGTGTATTCCTTTTGTCTTTCTTTATATTTTTTTTACTAAAACAAGACGTTAAAAGTTTTATATATCGTATTTTTTTCTAATATATTGAAAATTGAATTATTCCATAGTCATGTGATTGAATAGTCAAATAGTCGGTATAGTGAAAGCATAAATCAACACTTCTATTACACGTATTACCACGACTGGAATTATAAAAGCTGTTGTATATCGATTGGGTGAGTGATGTGTTTGACGTTTGAGGCTACCATCGAGGAGATGATGTAGGAGTTTAAATGGAGCCTCACATAATATCCATTTGAATTCGTCAAAAGACAAATTATATTTTCATGACTGACAGTTTACGTTCACATATCAGCCACAAAGTGAGACGTACACCGACAGTTTTATTATTATTATTATTGCCATAATGATCATTTTGGTAAAACTTCACAACTTCAGGAAATTCTAGTGGGAAGTCGTGACCAATGGCAGAAGTTGGAATCAATGAGCTGGCTATTCGATCGGATCTCAGTGGATGAATGGTCTACGAGCTCACTCGCTTTGTAACCGGAAGGTACTGGGTTGGTGGAACCCCGGTGGGTATGTACTGATGAAGAGTCCCAAAGCAGGCTGACGAAACAGCTGGCTGTCTGGCAGTACTCACAGCTTGTTTTCCAATGGTTTTCTTACCAATATCAGTTCATGATGAAATCCTGTAACCAATCGAATTAAATCCTTGCAAACGAACACTTGAATTTCAGTTATATTGGAGTTTATTTCAACGAGTCAACTAACTTATCTATCTACATGTTAGCCAAGCATTTACTGTTCTCATGTTTATAAATATGTAGTCTCACAGTTCGTCCAAGGACGTCTACTTAGACACAAATGTCCACTGGATTTACTTTTCTACAATGTGCCATGAAGCCTAGCAAACGTCACATCATCTGCTCTGCTGACATACTCATATAATTTGTAAAAATTAAATTTTGAAAAATCTCAGCGAAATTGAAATGAGTAATTCCAATGTTTCCTATGTTGGGCAAACTGATCCTAACTTCTTTAGGGAAATTAATCGAAATTAACATAACAGAGGTTTATATATAAAACAAAGGACATCTCTTGTCTCTAAAACCTTTGTCCAGTCATATGAGTCATGAAACAGTCATCAACATGTATAATAAACAAACAAAATTGTATGAGCTGTGATCAAAATTTGGCCTCAGACTCACAAATATATTAGTCTACTTTTGTTAAACACTTTAAACAGAGTGTACTTTTCATCAGAACTCTAGTAATTACGTTCGACTAAAGTTCATGGTCGTAGATAACTGAATATATATATATATGCCGTATACAATGGTGTTAGCCTCTCCATAAGAAGATTTAGACAATCGGTAATTTTAGACCAAGTATGATTAATTAGTGATACATATCCATTTTTTACTTTTCATTAATCAGGATTTGCCATACATCAGCTAACAAGATCACACCTTCACATCTGTTCAAACAGTTAATATCTAGAATTTTATGATTACACAAGTATTTTCAAAATTATACTGTTTAGGCACCTAATTATTTTAGAACTATTCTGTCAAATCTTGACCACAATTCATGTAAATACTCATATAATGTTTCTAACGGTGAGTGTGAGTCAACTCATGTTTTAGAAGTGCCACCAATGTCATGCCTAATTCCATTTCAAATTATTATTGAAAATAAATATTTTTAATAGTTGGTTTGTAAGGATTAGATTTGTTTTACGAGTTTGACCACGGATTGATATCAGTTAGAGAACAATTGAAAACCAGCCACAGGGGGTACTGGTTTGGTAGGACTTATAATTCACGTACCGGCCGCTGAATTGGGTCCCAGTGGCTGAATGGTATACGAGCTCGTTTGTCTTGTAACCGGAAGGTCCGTGGGTGCGTACTGCTGAAAAGTCAGCCTCAAACTAGGAGGAAACAGCTGACTGTCCAGTACTCCTTGTGGTTGGTTTTCAATGTTTCTCTAACTGATATCAATCCGTCATCAACTTGTGAAAACACATATATACATAAATTTTACCACATAAGCGTACAAGTTAAGTAAAATTTGAACTTTTACTAAATTTCTTTTCAACTTACAGTTGATTTTCCCATCTCCTCTGCACTGTTGACACAATGTTGAATTCAGTTGAATAATAATTATGATAATAATAATGATAATTATAAGTAGTTTTAATTATTTCTTGTCAGTATAAGTGAGTATAAGTAAGCCACACCTCCTAAGATCAATTGTTACACACTTTGTTTTTCATAATATATGTATATATACACATATATATATACTTATGCAAATGTGTGTCAATGGCTGATAGGTGGGTAGTTGGGTGGGTAGGTGAGTTGGTGAGTGACTGGTTGAGTGTATATGTGTACACCAATATTTTCTTTTTTTACATATTCTCAAGTACATAGGTAATATATATTTAATTGAATGTAGGATGCACAATATGCAGTCAAAGAACACGTGGTTTAGAGTATATACCACATTTATTATACGACACACATATACACATAAGTAGATGGTAAATTTGGCATTTTTACAATTTCAACCTTTTTTCAACTTTCTTACTTAAAGAAGAAATATCTTATTTCTGCAGAAGATAATTGATACGATATCAATATCCCCGGTTGTGACAGATATATTCATGGATAGCGGCGGGGGGGGGGTAGATAACGATTGAAACGTTCAACCACACCCCCGAAAAGTATAGTGGAGGTATGTAGATGACACATTCACTGTACACTTAGAACACAGGAGATATAGATAGATTTTTCGAACACATTATAACTCAAAGGTGGAGGCAATTCAATTCACTAATGAATTGGAAAGTTAGGAAGGGGAAGGAGCTTCCAATGTTACGTTGTAGCTAAAGAAAGAAGATGGGAGGTTAAAGCCGCCGGTGTTTACAGGAAACCCACACATTCAGACAGATATTTAGACTTCTGATCATGCCATCCTATGTCAGTTAAAATAGGATTGCTGAAATGTTTAAATAATAGAGCACAAAAACTAAGTATTACCAAGGAAAATCTAAGACAGGAAGTGATATATATACATATAAGAGAAGCCTTGAAATTTAATAATTACCCTGATAAAAGAATCAGGAAATATGTAGGGAAATGTAAAAATAAAATAAATAATGATAGCGGCGATAGTGATAATAATAATAGTAATAATAATGACTACATGCATGTCAAACATGCTCAAGACAACGCCAACAATAAGGAATCTAAATCATCCGTAATAATTGCATACAAGGAAAAAACCTCGGAAACCTTACACAGAATTCTTAACAAAGCAGGAATAAAAGTGGCTGGCATTGAAACCACTCACAAACTCAATTAGAAACAAGCTTTGTCGGTTAAAGGATCAATCCTTTGTAGCCTTTAAAACAAAACAATTTAGTTTATTTAATACCCTGCCTACAATGATTGTCAGATCAAATACATAGGTCAAACTAGTAGAACAGGTGCAGTCAGATTAGCCGAACATAAAAACCTAGCAGAATCTAGATTGGTTGATCCAAATAAGAAATCTAGAGAAAAGTTCAGCTATAGGACTACATGCAGTTACACACAATCATACAATAGGATGGGATAAGATGAAAATTTTAAAATCTAATGTCACAGGGTGAAGGGAGACATTGATAACAGAAGTTTTGTTTATCGAATCAACTGCAAATACATGTAATAGGAATGATTCAACACCTGTCCACCCAGATATCTGGAAAATTCTACTACCCCAACGACGACAAATAGGAGAGAACAAAGGAAACCATAAAACTGAAGTTTCGAAGTTGTGTGATTATAATTGATGTGATTATGAACAATAAATTTTGTTAGAAACCTTGTCATACAGTAAATAATACTGTTTCACTGTGTGATACATCTAATAAACAAACTAATATGGATGCTTTGGGCTTAACTAGACGATATGTGGTGGATGGGGACTAGTACTGGTATCCAGTAGACACGTGTTTCTTCCTAGCTGTATATATAGACCTGTATCTCACTGACTGGTGGTGTTCTTATTGACTCTTAAATCCAGCGCCTATCGTTCCAAACGAGTAAACCACTAGACCTACTAAGCGAATGAGTTTTAATTAGGATGGAACATCTATCTTGGATTTCACTGCTAGCCACCATTGATCAAGTAATCCCGTCTCGTTCAGGTGATCTATACTTTCTGATGGCTTCGATTTTTCACTTTATTATTATTATTATTAGATAGTTGTAGGTAGCTGACAAGACTCCTTATCTGGCATAGGCTTCGTGATTACTGGCAGGCACGTTTTGGTGAGGCGCATCTTCAACCCTGGAGAGACTGACGTCCCGTGGAGGATTCGTACCTACCAGGCCCTGTATTGTATTCGTAGGCGTTACTGCTAAGCTATTCAGGCTTTTCATTGACCTTCTGTAATAGTTATTTTGATCTGTCACTGGGCAATGATCAGTGTCGTCCATCTAGTCCTTAGTGGTGTTGACTGAATTCTGCCGGTCGATGTTACATGAGAAGTTATTCTATGGCTTCTCTGGCCTTGCCTTTAGAACAATGCAGAAAGTAAAAGGCACACTGTCCGTCATTTTTCACCTTAGAAACAACAGCATTTCTCTGGTTATCCACTTTCGGTAGCTCAAGACCGACACTAACAGAAGACAGCGCTACATCCATCATGCTTTCATAGCTAATTAACTGATCAATTTCTTTGCGCGCTTACCGAGAAAAAGCGTTCCAATTTGTTAAGTTAACTTTACTTCAGTAATTCGGTGATACATTTTTTATTCTAAATGTGTACAAAAACTTGAGACCACAGTAATCAACACAGATGAATATGCACGTCTGGATTCCTTTCGTATATTAAGATAACTGATATATCTGTCTATCTAATAAGCATATTATTTAGTATATTCAGTAAATTTCCTAAATAAAAGACCGTGTGTGTATAGGATTAGAAGGCAAATTGAATTGATAAAATAAAATAAAATAAGAAGCACGATCATTGAACACCTGGTCAATAATGATCACCCTATCTTGATGGCTTCCCACTTTAAAGTCGTCTACAATGTGTAAACTCTACCTCTTTTACGTCAGTTGTTACTATTACCTATTCTCATTTTAAATTGTCCCCGGTACCATTTAAATCGTTCCACTTGTCAGTCTAAATCAATTTTGTTTTGCGGCGTTAAATTCTGTTATTAAATTTCACGCGACTTTACGTGACGTTTTTATTTTTATTCTATTTGCCTACTAATCCTAAGTTCTATACATCCTATGAACTGTTTTATTTAAAACATCAATTGTTTTGCCACTTCATAGTGAACTATGATTATAATCACAAATATTTTAATTTTAATCGCATTTCGTACTGCTATTATTATTATTATTTCATGCATTCACACCTATGATTACATTCCATCAACGGATATAATTTCTTAAAAACAACATGTATATATGCGATTGTACAACTTGATAATGAATTCGTTGAAAAGATTCTCTTCTCTGAATCACTTGTTTTGATTTTCTACATGTTACAATGGGAATTTTCCTTGAATCAGACAGTTGATGATTTATTGGACTCCTACATTTCTCCACTGAATTGCTGGCTTGTTAGCTGAGAACTAATTTTGGAGTATTGGTTTTTTTAGGGACTTTGTTTGATTGATAGGTTGAAGGATTTCATCATAAGCTGACATCGGTTAGAGAACCATTGAAAAACCAGCGGGTACTGCCAAACAGTTGTTTCGTAAGACTAGTTTTGGACCTGCTCCTCGGCAGTATGCATTCACCACCAGCCAGTTGGAACCCAGGACCTTCTGGTTACAAGACTAGCTCGTAGACCCTTAGGCCACTGGGACCCTATCCAACGGCCGACAACAGCATGACCATAGCTAATGTCTTCGGTCGGAACACCTTAGAGGACATAGCAAGAGAGTTCAAAATTCAAGAAGAACCATCTTCCTGTGAAGTACTGGTCCTCACAGTGAGCCATAAGCTCCTGGGGAACCGTCTCCTAGGAGAAGTAGTGTCTGCAACCTCAACTGATCCATTCAAGCAGGGTTTGGACAAGAACAGAAATTTACCAGAAAAGGATTAACCTAGGCTTCAAGCCTTCTTTCCTCAACAAATAGATCTCAATCTGAACCCATCACTGATTAGCACGTTTTTCTCAGTGTGCAGGTTGAAGGTGAGACGGTAACATATCGAAGAAGACATTATGAAGTGGTTGCGCTATATCATGAATTGACAGTAGTTGAATTTCATGGTCTGGCCACTAAGAAGTCGACTCCCACTGACTTAATGTTCTACGAGCTCGCTCGCCTTGTAACCAGAATGTCCTGGCCGGTTCGAACCGGCTGTGGTGGGTGCGTGCTGTTGCAGAGTCCCAAACTAGTCTGACTAAACAGCTGTCTGGCAGTACCCTCAACTGGTTTTTCAATGGTTTTCTAACTGATGTCAGCTCCTGATGAAATCCTATAACCAAGCAATCAAATCCCTACAAATCAATACTTGATAATATTCAATTCTTAATAGTATATAATTAGAATTCGTCATATTTTTTGTGTCATGAAGTACTTTGTTCCTTTAGCACTATGCATTTTGAACTTAACTTTGTTATACTTCACAAATATTTGATTAATAATTATTATAATAATGATGATAATATTTTTATGAACTTTTTCGAAATGCCATCCAGCACTTCTAACTAGACTTGATTCTATGCTATTAAAGGTAACGTAAAAAACTACGTAATATCTATTAAATTGTGTCATAATTATTTGCATATCGGTATAAGAAACACCGTAAATTTGTTTAGTTACAAATGAAAGACGCAACAAAGAAACAATGTAATTTATCAAAAGAATATTTACCGAACAAAGGAGTATTCCTTTCGATAACTTCATCATCCGGTTCTACAGTTATATGTTCGTAATAATGAATGAATGAATTAGTGTTATGAACAGCAATAATGTTGTTTAAATAACATCGAATCAATAATAATAATACCAGTTAAGTACAGTTTGATAGCATCCAGGTAAGCATACCCTGAATATCAGAAAAATTAGGAAAGATAATAATACGTATTCATGAATTTATAGTCTCCACTAAAGGCTGACCAGGGGGAGTAGTAATGGCTGGCTGGACTTGCTTCTTCTTCACACAGGCCACCGACCGTTTCAGACGAATAGCAATAGCCTCAGCTGTTCGGAGTATATGGCATATGGTATCTGGATATTTTTGGCTATTTGTTTGGT